GACGCCATACTGGGTGTCGACTTCCTAACGGGACAAAACGCTGTTATTGCCTTAAGACGTTTTCGAATCTGGCTGGGCACACATAACCTTGCATTTGTTCAGCCAGTGAACCACAAACAGTATGCTAATGCCCGTGCTCTGCCCCAGATGACTATGGTGAATATGCATGATAACCCTCACCTTAGTCCAAAAGAACGTGCCGACACTCTGGCCCTACTACAGGAGTACAGTGATGTGTTCGACGATGGACACGTAATGGGGCGGACTAATATCGTACAACACGAGATTAAGACGGGCGATAACCTGCCCATTAGGATGCCACTGTGACGGGTACTCATTCACTATCAACAGCAGTTGGACACCATGACAACGGACATGTTAAGAAAGAAGGTGATTAAACCGTCTACATCACCGTGGGCATCTCCAATTGTGTGTTAGTCCACAAGACAGGATACGGATTTCAATGACAAGGTTTGTCCTTTTATGTATATGCCTATATAGCCTCGTTATTTTAATTTTCATTAAATTTATCTAACAATGACCATCTCTTTGGTATTTCTGTTATTCAGACCAACAACAGCTCAAGAGATGAAGGTTTCGACTATCGCGGAGGATGTGATTTTACATGTATTTCTTCACCGAAACGCTGAATGTACTTATCCAATTTCCAACAGGAAGCAGTCAGTAAGCCGAATATAAGTAACAGTGAGACAATCCAAAGTATGAACTACACTTTGAGGTCGATACTATTAGGCAGGATTGTATGCTTTGCTGACTAAAGATGGCGATATGACAGCATGCTGAATGGCTAGGTTCCTTGACAGCGCACCTTCAGATCACTCAGCAATTTTCTAAAGTGAAGGTTCACAGTCTTTTTTGAAAGGTAAAATGTGTAGTTTAATTATATTAATACGCATCTCTTCGGTTCTAAGTGTAAAGTAAAGCCTAAGCAGCACATCACTCTACAGTTTTCCACTAATTTTCATTTTCACTCCACAGATTCCCTCCCATGTCATCCTGTAATGTTCAACTCGTATATATCCATTCCGGTTTCTATCGATAGCCTGGATATGATTCTACACAACTGTCTCGGCAGCTTATGTCCGATCGATCTCCATATTTGTTAAGGAACAGGTTTATTGCTTATACACTTAAGTATCTTGGTTCCTTTCCGCTCATCCTTTCTGATCAGCAATTTGATCTTCAATATCGAGAGAAGTTATCTGACGATATAAGCCCGCAGTGACCTGTTGAGAATGCTTTCAGTGATGCGTGCACCAAGCCTCTGAATCAGACAGATATACTACCTAGAGATAAATGTTACAGATTCGGGTTAATGTGCCCGTGCTGAATGAGAGGAATGTAACAATTGAAATCGATGTGTTGTGATCTGAATGCAAAAGACAGATATTTGCAGTGTTGGTTTGTAGGGATTTGATTGGTTACAGGATTTCTTCATGAGCTGACATCAGTTAAAGAACCACTGGAAAACCTGGGAGTACTAGACAGGTGTTTTGTCTTAGTTTGGGACCCTTCACCGGGATTCGAACCCAGGACCTTCTGGTTACAAGACGTACTGATGAAGAATCCCAAACTAGGACGAAACAGCTGTCCAGTACTCCCAGGTTTTCAAATGGTTCTCTAACTAATGTCACTTCATGATGAAATCCTGAAAGAGATATTTCCGTTCTCCTATATGACTGGCTGAGACTTCATTGAGTTACTTGCGGTTACAATATGCTGCTTAAAGAAAGCAAAAGGACAGTTGTTTGCACAAAAGTTCCCAGAGCTTTTTAACAATAAGAAGATTTCAAAAAGCAGATTACCTCAACAATGCCGTTAGGTAGCTATACAGATAGAATTCTCTTTTCCCGTTGTTACAAACCAAGCACGGCACAACGAAATCAACCGTAAGTATCACCTGATCATACAGACAAATATTTAAAGCAAGGTAGCGTCAAAACAAAGTAAGTAAGAATCACGCACCGAGAAATTCTCTCCAACAACTCAAGATCCAAATGACTTAGACCCAGACAAACAAAGCAGAAGTCGTAGAAATAGAACATTATCTTCACACAAACACAAAAAGAGGCACATAGATTAGTGGTTAAACAGGAAAAAGACAAATTCTAAGAGACTAAATCAACAGATAATGTTCAAACATAAGGCTATTAATATGCAGTCAAGCAGAGAAACGTGAAATAATTGGTTGAAAAATCAAAATTAGTATCAATGTTGTAATTAGATTGTTCAAGAGGGATTTTCCAGACAATTATTCCAATTCAGTGCTGATACCCGCAATGAAATTAATTCAGTAGCAATCTTAGCTGATTTCAACATCCTCGTCCATCCATAATAGGGAGTATGCTGCGCAGATGAATAGGTGGAAACGTCAACTTCTTTTGGATTTCTACTACTGATGGTTGCTGGATTTGGGCAGCTTTCGCTCTCCGACGTGATTTGATTCCTGCAGTGTTAGTCCATTGCGTTTACTAGTTAGAATAGATGGTAGATTACCAACAATAAATTGGATTTGCTGCCACTGGAAAACCTTTCGTTTCATGTTATCAACAGCCTTTACGGCCGTTTCTCCAGCCTAGTAGTCATGACGGGCTTCTTCAGGATGAGTCCTGCTCTCAGTCCTAGATTCACATTTAGTTAGTTTCTGCCAAAATTGGGACTGTGGGCTTTCATAAGGAATTAGGATGTGTAGTCACTTACTAAAGTGACTAAATCTGGATGTTTTGCTTTTATTACTTCTAAAGTAACTTCTGTTCTGGCAGCATATATTCAATACCGTGTATATTTTGGATTTTCATGGAATAATACTCAATCTTATCCCCATACCAGCAAGCATACGCGAACCAGTCGAGAGACTACCGCATCCGGTACACCAGTTAGCCAGGCTTCCTGAACAACCTCAATTTCGTTTCCGATTAGCTTCAACTTCAAATAACGTTCACGGCTGTTGTGTGGCCGTCTATTTTGCTAGACCTGAGGTTTGACCATACTACTGCGGACATTTCAGCCTGGCCTACAAAGCCAAGTGTTGGTTTATTATTATTGTTCCCTTGTATTCCAATTAGAACATAAGACAAACAACACATCGTCACTATGTTCTATTTTCTCCTGTCCTCTTCATCTGGGTCCACGAGTGCTCATTACTTCTCATCTCCCCTTCACCCGGTCTCCTCCATGTCATCCCAGGTTGACTCACTTGTCGTTTCCCATCCGGATTCCACTTGAGGACCTGACGCGTGATGTTATTCGACGGTCTACTCAGCTCATGCACAATGCGTCTCTATTTTCTACTACACATTTGTTGAACGAAAGGTTCTTGGTTATTTTGTTCCCATAGTTTCTTATAGCTAATTCTTCCTGGTCATTTGATTTTCAATACAGAGTGGACATCTGTAAAAAATTATATTTGTAAAATCTCAGCGATATTGAAATAAGTAATTCCAACGTTTCGTTCGGCAATCTGGTCCGAACTTCTTCACTCGGCGCCCAAATATTTTAGAACTATTCGGTCAAATCTTGACGACAGTTCATTTGAAGAGTGGACATCACCTTCAAGAAACATCTACCACCATTTTAGGAATAAAGAAAAGGCAAGCGGAGGAATGGCTCACAACGGATACCTGGAAGCTAATAGAAGATAGGAGAATGGCGAAAAAGAGGATGGACTAATGCGAAAATGGACAACACAAGGAGAAGCTGAGTTCAACGTACATCTCACTGAATAAATAAGTGAAGCAGAACTCTAGGAATTACAATTATACGACACTCTGACAACTGAAACAGAACAGGCTGCAGGTAGAATAGATGATGGTTAAGAAACCGACTTTTCTAATCTAATTACCTAAAGACGACCTGTAATACTGTCGGTGAAGCTTAATTTCTAATAGAAAAGCAGTAGGTAAGTGTAGCGAGGAATCCGTAGTCAAACAAACAGAAGTGCGTTCACTATTCAGTAGAAAAAGAAAGCCTTACAAATCATAAAGACACAGTTCCTACTGGGTTGCACGTTCTACCCTTCTGAGTTTCTTATTACGTCCGTATGACCATAGCATACCCAGTTTTAGAGACTCTACAGTGGTACAGAGATATACAATCACACCACAACTCAGTCAGGCTCCTGTTCCTTGTAAACCCAATTACCCGCAATCTGCACAGATAAACAAACTGACGGCTGAACGGGAAACGGCAGAGACTCGATTGAATGGACGAACTTCTTTGATCCTCTTCACTGACACCTGTAAGATCACGTTAAGTGAATAACCACACTTCATTCTTTTGTGGGTGTCTTTGGAACAAAATTCACACTATGTGGTGGAGTTCTAGCTGATTTACCGATTTCACAAATTGTCTTAATGTTGGGCGCTTCAAAGTGAAGGTGGCAGTTTGGTTTTAATAGTCTATTGGGTTACCTTGGCACGATAAAAACTCTTCCCAGTGAGTGTAGCTCAACGCGATATGCAAGCTCCTCCTCCACTACACCACGGTTGTTATACTAGCACCATGAGAATAGGAAAAACACTGCGGATATACCCAGACTATCATGTTGCGTAATTTAAATATCCAAGTAGATTTCATCTTAAAGCGACATTAGCAAAATAACTGGTGATTCACCGAATTGCTGCAAACCTTAAGTCCACAACACGGCGAACTATTCACCGAGTGTCACAAATGTCTATTTTCATTTAGGCTTAACGACTGATTTTCGGGAAGACATTGCATCTTCTGGTATCTTTATTCTGTGCAAAGCGTAAGACTAAGTGGTACTCTTCATGGGTCGACAACCGTAATTTCACCATGAACCAGTGTTGATATATACTTGTAGACTTTCAAAAGACGACAGGTCATGTCAAAGTCTTCTAAACCCTTTCGTCTGCACTAATTTTATTTACTACATAGATAATTAGTTGCATGACCTTATTATAAATACTGTTTTATATAAATAAGAGTCACAATGCAAAGTGTTAATAATAACAAGAGAATCAAATACAAGTAATTTATTTTATATGCAAACATAACAACATCCATATCAAGGTGAATATGTACAGACTTCAATGCAGTTAGATGATCATTCATTACCTGAAACAAAAGTAGTTAAAAATACAGAAACTATCCATAAAAACAGTAATCGGTATTGTGTTTAGAATAAGGAATGCATTGATTAGGTTTTATTTCAAAAAATGAACCCCTTTTTACTGGCTAGTAATAGGTGATGATAAAATTCATTGAAAAATGGGTGACTTTCCTTAATACTACCAGCTACCTTCTGAGAACCCTGTAGTAGCAGAAAGCACTAGTGATCATCCTATTGTAAAGTAGATTTCCTAACTGGCTAGTGAGTTCTTTGTGCCCACATCTGACACTGAATCTCTAAAATTCATTGTATTAGCATCACTATTGCCATCTATTCTTCAAAATATATCAGTTTCCTTAAATTATATATGAAGTTAAGTTTCTTTCACACTGGGTAATGAAACATTCACAAAACATAAACACATAGTAAACCAGCTTGCTTATTTCTACCCACCAACAAGTGAAAACCTGTAAATAATACTGAAGCGCTGAAAGAGATTAACTCAGTCTCACACTTCCTAAACTCCTGAGGAAAAAAGGCACTGTCAAGAAACAGACGCTAACAAAAATGATATATTCTTTTTCTCAAAGGTAGGTAGACTTTCTAGCTTCCCCAAATGTTTAGTATACATCAGTTGCAACATGCTCTCTACCTACACATTGACAAAACACATGAAAATCCTTGCATTCCCAGAAGTATCATAATAAAAATTCCAAAGACAATATTAAATTACCTGCTTCGAGTTAACAAAACTAATCACAGATTTCCATTTTCTCATGCTTGAACTTCTTCGGTTTCATCTTCTTCAGAACTTCAGAAGAAATAAACGAAATGCAAAAGTTAAAGTAAGATAAATGGGGATTTATTTCAATCAACTGATTCGTCAGTTCAATGCGGATGGGTGATAAGATGCTCTTTTGTCTCTTTCGGATTTTATCACTAAGGGTTTATTTGTCATTCAAGAATGATCAGATGACAGCCACATCCTCAGTGTGAACGTTGTAGTCATCTTGATGATAGCAGTAAACAGTTAACAATTTGGAGAGTACACATAATATCCATCAACTCTCACAGATCAAAAGTAACCTTCCTTCAGTCAGCATCATCCATCGTAAGGACATTCAATGTGCCTGAGCTAACTTCTGCTTTCAAAGGAAGTAGACACATAGGCTGACTGGTTTCCTGGAAGCTTTCATTTACCGGTCTCAAGCCTCTTCGAATTAAGTTTACCCAATTACAGTGAAGAAAAAAATTTATCTAATAAGTGCCTTGAGATTTCAGTAGAGACATCGATGCTTAATACAAGGTGACGTTTCTAACACAATGCCTAGCATTAACCTATCCTCATGCTTACGGTCAGATAGTGAAACAAGCGAAAACTAATCAAAAAATTTGAATTACCTGGTACTGCTTCAGTACAGTTCTCAGAGTCATCCATCTTCTTGTGCTTCAACTTCTTTGATTTATGCCTCATCTCATCTGAAGAAACAGACGGAATGTAAAAGATGAAATTAAATAAATAGCGATTCATATTACATTATATACATATGTATATGTTTATATATACACATATATACATAAATATTTATGTGCACACTGTGAACTGTTTTCCAGGTACAGGTAGCTTTTGTGTCATTTGCTGGTGGTCGAGCAGCTGTTTAATCCTGTCGAATGTCTTCTGCGATTCCTCCGAACAAACAAACTTCCTTTCACCTACTAGCCTGTACAGAGGGGCTGCTATCTCATTGAAGTTCTTCACGAACCGACTATAAAACGCCGCTTTACCCAAGAATTGTCTCAATTTTCTCTTTGAATTCGGGGCCGGGATCGTCTTTATCGTCAAGATTTTCTCCGGTAAAAGGTTCAATCTCACCATTTCTTACTTTATGTCCCAACAGAGTTACATTCTTTTTGGTTATCTGAGACTTGGGTTTGTTGACACGCAGTCCAAACTCTTCAATGCATCGCAGCACGGCTTCCACATGGTTCACATGATCGCTTTCATCTTGACTACATATGACGAGATCATCACCGTACACCTCCACGTTTTTCAAGTTCTTAAGTAATAGCGTCATCAGTCGTCTGAACGTAAACGATGCACCTGCTAGTCCAAACGGCATGCGTTTGAATCGATTTTGTGTCTGACCCACGATGAATGCCATCTTATCTCTATCACCAGGTTTTATCGGTATCTGCCAGTATCCTGAGTGAAGATCGAGAACCGAAAACAAATTTGCACCTTGTAGGCGATCTAAAGTTTCTACAACTGTTGGCATGGCACACGGTTTCAACTCTGTCATACTGTTCAACTGTCGAAAATCAACCCAGAATCTATACTTCCTATTCGCTTTTCTTACTAACAGAACTGGAGAGTTGTACGGACTATCAGCTTCTTCAATAATATCATTCTTTAACATCTCTCGCACTTGTCCCTCAACTTCGCCTTCCAAATGACATGGGACTCTTTGCGTTGTAAATGTCGTTACTTTCGGACCACTTAACGGAATTTCGTGATTCACCTTATCGCAATAACCGTATGGGTCCCCATCTCCGGTGAACAGATGATCGTATTTATTAATTAATTCTGTCATATTGTGTACCCTCGATAGCTTAACCGCTGCTATCTCTCTGGTCTCATACATGCTGATACGTCCGTATTTCGTGATCACAACCTTCGGTTGCGTGTCGATTATCGCACCAATCTCCCGGAGAAAATCCGCCCCAAATATCGTTCGCTGTAGTTCGGGTACAACAAAGAAGGGAAAAGTCACCTCGCAGCTGCCAACAACGACCGTACAGTTCGATCTACCCATGAGGCGTAACACGTGCCCGCCTGCTGTTTGTACTATCAAAGAACATGGACTGACACTCTTACATAAGTCCTTATCTATCAGGGACACAGCCTCCCCGTAACTACTAAACATACTACTTCTTGACCATTCTGGTTAGCAGCCCACTCTCACCACACGAACAATAAGGACAGAATTACCAGAACGAGTTCCAGTGAGATGTCACCAGTGGGTACAAGGGTCAGGTCTGAGGAAAAAGACTCACCGATGATATTGGTATACTAGTGTCAGTTAGCAGGGATTTCATTGGTTTCAAGATTTCAGTATGAGCTGACGTCAGTTAGACAACAGCTGGAAAAACTCACAGTACTGGACAGTTATTTCGTCCTAGTTTGAGACTCCTCACAGTACCCATCCACCGGGGTCCAACATTGACCAGTCGTCATGCTATATTGTCAACTGGCAGAAGTTGGAATTCATGTATCCACCATTGGATCAGATACCAGTAGCTTAACAGTCTACGAGCTCGCCCTGTACCAGAAGGTCCTGGGTTGAAACCCTGACAGTAGGTGCATGCTGTGAAGAGTCTCAAACCAGGACGGAACAGCTGTCCAGTACTCTCAGCTTTTCCAGTGATTCTCTAACCGACGTCAGAGCATGATGGAACGTTGTAACCAATCAAATCTAATCCCTCCAAACCAATACTTGACTACGAGACAACTATAGAAAGCAAGCTTCGACTTTATGTAGGTACAAGTGATATGATTAAAAAAACCAATAAACTGGGTTCCAAACACCATAGAGTAGAAAAATATTGTTTCACTGCATGCTGTATCCAATAAACAAACTGAAACAGAATTACGCACAACTAAAGTGCCCAAGCCTAATAATACACATTTTCAAAGAGAACTTAAAATGAATTAATTCTTCAACCTAATCGAAATGCGTGATAACATGTTCCTTCGTTGAGAAGGCGAAAAGCAACGACCAATTTCAATTACCTGACACCTGTTCAGTACAGTTCTCAGACTCATCCATCTTCTTGTGCTTCAACTTCTTTGATTTATGCCTCATCTCATCTGAAGAAACAGACGGAATGTAAAAGATGAAATTAAATTAATAGAGACTCATATTAAGATATATATATATATATATCAAACAGTGAAACAGTATTATTAACTGGATGACGTTTCAAACACAAATTATTGTTCATAAACATGTCAATTGTAAATCCGCAACTTTTAACTCATTCATGACAAAGAACTTGGAGTGAAAACTAAACAGTCAACAGTGGACATCATGTTAGAGTTGCAGCTATGCCTGACTTCTATAGCATTCTGCGTTCTAAGGAAAACCGTACGCACAAACTGAGAGAGTTACGTTGCAGCTAGCTGTCTAAGCACCTTCGCCAACTTAATAATATACATCTGCTGCACAGCGTTAACCGGTTGTATTCGCTGAGATATGTGGTCTGGGACACTCTAGATGAACTGGGAGGTCAATAACTGCGCCTCTGATTCCTCATCCAAAGTGGGAAGCGAACGTCGAAGTAGATTCGTCAACTTCACCGCCTACACTAACGGGTCTCCATCAGGTCCCAGCTTCATTGAACGGAACTGCTGCATTGCTAGCTGTCTGTCCATTGCGCTGTCGAACTTTGACACCAATCGTTCAACCAATGTCTTCCAAGTCGCTGTGCTATCTGACATCTCTACGCTGTAATATGCCGCTTTCACTCGGTCTCTCAACAGTGTCCCCAACACAACCGCCTTCGCTGCCTGCTCCTTGACACCCATCAACTCAGCAACGGCCTCGAAGTCACGTAAGCAGCTCCGTATGTCTCCTTTTTCAAACGCAGTTGGTCATGGGATCTTTATTCTTCGGAGGCAGCGACACCAATTGTAACGACAGACGGAAAGACTCAGGCAACAGATTGTTTATCATAGAAATCAACACATATATAGATTTTCATGTACATTATTATACATCATTGTTAGCAGACAAACACAGTCTTCTGACTGATTGTTTCTCACTACAAGTTAATCTTTCACCTCTTTGTGGGTGTCTCTTGAACGTCAGATCATCTTTCTGCTAATTGTATCCGCCTACGCACAGTCTGCTACTATAAAGAAGAAAAGACCTGTATGGGCTAGTTGGTGGCATTCTTGAATGATCGCACGACGAAGGCGTTTTGGTGTCCCTGTAACCCAGCTACCATCACTGTCTTTCCAAGTTAGGACGCCGGCAGCGTTTAGTTTGAGTCATTGTTTTTGATGCAGCAGCATCTTCAACTCTCTATTCTCTGCTGCCATTTCAATTTTGTTTCCCTTCACTTATCATCTGAACGACTGTCTAAAGAGTAGGATCCGACTTCTGGTGGCGAACAAGTTGTATGGGATCTTGCTCCAAAGCGTTTACTGCATACGCTACCTCTGGTAGTTCAGTCTCATTATCTGATCTCGACAAATAGTCAGCTATTACTTTTTCTTCTCCTGGAATATGTCCAATCGTGAAGTCATACTCTTGTAGGCGTAACATCCATCGTGATAACTTCCCTCGTGGATCCCGTGCTGTTTTCAACCACTGAAGAGGTTTGTGGTCGGTCTCAATGTGGAATTGACGGCCGATCACATACGGCCTCCGTTTTTCTAGTGCCCATACAATGGCTAAACACTCCTTTTCCACCGTAGAATACTTCTGCTCTGCAAGTGTCAACACACGGCTAGCGTATTCAACAACCCTATCCGTTTGTCTTAAAACAGCACCTATACCATAATCATTGGCGTCTGTCGAAACTGTGAACTGTTCCCCCGCGCTGGCAGTTTCAACGTCATCTGTTGACCATCTAACAGCTCTTTAATTCGCTCAAACGTTCGCTGTGCCTCTTCCGTCCACATGAATTTCGCGTCACTCAGCAACGTATATAGCGGTTTTGCTATCTCATTGAAATTTTCGACAAATCGGCTGTAGAATGCTGCTCTTCCCAAAAGCTGTCTCAGCTTTCGCTTTGAATTTGGCACTTCGCTGGTTTTGACCGTCAGGATTTTCTCAGGTAATGGCCGTATTTCTCAATTTCCCACTTTGTAACCCAGGAGGACAACCGTGTTTTTGGCTATTTGGGACTTGTTCTTATTAATCCGCAGTCCAAAGTCATCAATTCTCTTTAGGATAGCTTCGATGTGGTCTATATGGTCGCTCTCCGTCTCACTATACACCACCAAGTCATCTCCACATACTTCTACGTTCTTCAGACCCTTCAGTAATAAGGTCATTAATCTTCTGAATGTAAATGGGGCACTTACCAATCCAAATGGCATTCGTCTAAACTGGTATTGTTCCTGCTCAACTGTGAAAGCTGTTTTACTTCGATCACTTTCTGCTATTGGGATCTGCCAGTAACCCGATCTGAAGTTGAACACGGTGAATAACTTGGCTTTATGAAGGCGATCAAGGGTTTCTGTTACGGTAGGAATTGCACACTGTTTTACTTCGGTGAGGCTACTTAGCTGTCTGAAATCGACACAAAATCTATACTTCCCGTTAGCTTTCGTTACCAAAAGGATTGGCGATCTGTACGGGATGTCGGCTTCTTCGATTATTCCGTCATTAAACATTTCTCTGACTTGTCGGTTAACTTCTTCTAGGTGAATCGGAACTCGTCGCGATGAAAAGACTGTCTTCCCCGGATCCTTCAGTGGAATTTTATGCTTTACCTTATCACGATAACTGTACGGGTCTCCATCACTAGTGAATAAGCCGGCATATTTACTAATCAACGTGGTTAGACGTGGTGCATCTTGCGGAACAATGGTTGTGGTTTCCACCTCAGCGACTTCACTATCCTCATGTATCGCGAATTGCCCGTGTTTTGTGACCGCTTTTCTATTCTTCATATCGATTACAGCTCCTACTTCTCTGAGAATGTCTGCTCTTAAAATCGTTCGTCTTATATCAGAAGTTACAATAAACGGATATCGTATTTTCCCTGCTCCAATCTCTACAACGCAGTCTGAAACGCCGAGAATGTGCCTACCATCTGAACTGCTAATGTGCACGGCTTTATTTCCTTACACTGTTCTCTATCTATCAACGAAACTGCGGCCACTGTGTCGATCAAACAAACTAGTTCTTTTTGGTTAACACATAATCTCCTGTACACTGAACCTCTTTCGACTAATCCGACCACCTCCAAACGCGAGCGAGAGAAAAAAGAAAGGTTGTACCGTTTAAATGTTTTTTTGCCTTCGTTTCGGGCAGTTTCTCTACCAGTGACCGGCTCCTACGCAAGCAAAACATCTGTTGTTTTGTATTTTCCTTATCCGCATAGCCGGCAGCTACTGTTTCAACTCTTCAACCTGGTCTTCAATCTTCTTGGAATCCTGGCACTCCGTCATCACTGGAAAGTATGTGAAGTGATTATCCGACTTGTCACCTTTGCCATTTCATAAATATCCATTGAGCTGCGTTAACTAGCTGCAAAAGATGAGCGATATTTGTCGGGATGCATTCGAGGAACTGAGATGCGAGCAAAAGCTCCAGTGAATCTTCGTCCAGGGTGGGTACCGCGCGTCGCAGATGATTCGTCGGCGTTACTGCGAGAACCAAAGGATCCCTATCCTGGCCAAGTCTCAGCGTCCGAAACTTCTGCAGCGCCTTTTGTCTGTCCGCAGGGCTATCGAACTCGCACACGAGACTCTTGACGACCTTTTCCCACGCCGCCTCACCTTCCAGCTCCCGGCCCCTCAGCAGAGTTCTCAAGACAACCAGCTTCGCCTTCTGCTCCTGCACTCCAACCAGCTCCGCGACAGCATCGAAATCCCTGAGGAACGTCCGCACATCTCCCTCCTCGAACATCTGCGGCCTCGGCACCTTCATCTCCGGCAGAAGCAGCGACACCAAATGTAATGAAGAAAAGACCGAGGAGGCTGAAAGGAATGTTTATTTGGTGCAACGTATTGTACATAGGTAAATTTGATATACCATATTTTCAAACTGCCATTTGCACATCATTTACCACATCCTTGACGAATTGGTCGAATATCGTCACATTCAATAGCTTCTTGGATTCTGCATCATATGGCAACATTCTTCTCATGGTTCTCTTCTTTGATTGCTCTTTCCAGTGTGCAAAACATATTGTTACTTTTCTGATTTCGTTTCTGCTATACCACTCATATCGGATTATAAGTAGAACAGTCCATACTATCAGTCCGTGTTCTTATCTTCACATGATTATTATTTCGGACATTAACATTGACGTAAATTACTGTCTAACGATCTGGCTAGCAGCCAGCTCTCGCGAAACAGACATTTCAGACAGAATTACCAGAACGAGTTCCAGTGAGATGTCACCAGAGGGTCAGGTCTGAGGAAAAAGACTCACCGATGATATTGGTATACTAGTGTCAGTTAGCAGGGATTTCATTGGTTTCAAGATTTCAGTATGAGCTGACGTCAGTTAGACAACAGCTGGAAAAACTCACAGTACTGGACAGTTATTTCGTCCTAGTTTGAGACTCCTCACAGTACCCATCCACCGGGGTCCAACATTGACCAGTCGTCATGCTATATTGTCAACTGGCAGAAGTTGGAATTCATGTATCCACCATTGGATCAGATACCAGTAGCTTAACAGTCTACGAGCTCGCCCTGTAACCAGAAGGTCCTGGGTTGAAACCCTGACAGTGGGTGTGTGCTGTGAAGAGTCCCAAACCAGGACGAAACAGCTGTTCAGTACTCTCAGCTTTTCCAGTGATTCTCTAACCGACGTCAGCGCATGATGGAACGTTGTAACCAATCAAATCTAATCCCTGCAAACCAATACTTGACTACGAGAGAACTATAGAAAGCAAGCTTCGACTTTATGTAGGTACAAGTGACATGATTAAAAAAACCAATAAACTGGGTTCGAAACACCATAGAATACAAAAATATTGTTTCACTGCATGCTGTATCCAATAAACAAACTGAAACAAAATTACGCACAACCAGAGTGCCCAAGCCTAATAATACACATTTTCAAAGAGAACTTAAAATGAATTAATTCTTCAACCTAATCGAAATGCGTGATAACATGCTCCTTCGTTGAGAAGGCGAAAAGCAACGACCAATTTGAATTACCTGACACCTGTTCAGTACAGTTCTCAGAGTCATCCATCTTCTTGTGCTTCAACTTCTTTGATTTATGCCTCATCTCATCTGAAGAAACAGACGGAATGTAAAAGATGAAATTAAATAAATAGCGATTCATATTAAGTATATATATATATATATATATATCAAACAGTGAAACAGTATTATTAACTGGATGACGTTTCAAACACAAATTATTGTTCATAAACATGTCAATTGTAAATGCACAACTCTTAACTCATTCATGACAAAGAACTTGGAGTGAAAACTAAACAGCCAACAGTGGACATCATGTTAGAGTTGCAGCCATGCCTGACTTCTACAGCATTCTGCGTTCTAAGGAAAACCGTACGCACAAACTGAGAGAGTTACGTTGCAGCCATCAATATCCCCAATACTGCCAGATATATCTATGGATAGGTGGGAAACGTTAGCAATTGAAACATTCAGTCACACTGTCAAAGTGGTGGAAGTAAGTGATTTAAAAATTCAGGATGTAAACAGCTGTAATTCGATTCAATTATTGATTGGAAAATCATGAAAGGGAGCTTCCAATGTTATACTACAATCATAAAAGGGAAACAAGATGGGAAGTTAAACAATGGTGTTTACAGGAAAACCACACATTCAAACCGATAACTGGACTTCAGTTCATCCTACTCCATATCAATGAAATAAGGCAGCAGAACTAAATAGAACCAAAAAAAGTAAATCACATAAGAGGATTTACGGTACTTAATAATTACGCAGAGAAACTAATCAGTCGATATATACCGACTGACTGGTTTCAACATACAACTTTGCACAGATATGCAGCAGTTTCAGTTGCCACACTCCATGTACCACACAAAGCAAGGGAAGAGAGTGAAGTGAAGTGAAGTTCAAAAGACAGATAATAAACAGAAGTGCGACGGAGAAAGATTAGTAATATAGAAAAACAATCGTGTAGATAGGAAATTATAGCAGTGATAACAGTAATAATACGGACAACATGAATAACAAACATATACAGGAGAGTGCTTATGTTTAGAATAGAGAATTCAAAATATACTCAATATTGCCACACAAAGAAGGAACCTCTGAAATACTACTTAGGATTCTTGACAAGGCAGAAATAAAAGTGGCATTCGAACACACAAACTCACTGAGAAACAAATTATGTCGGTTGAATGATACTGTGGAGCCCAGTAAACAAAATAATCTGGTTTATGTAATAGCCTGAAATGATTGTGAGGCTAGATACATAGTATGTCGGGGTTGATTCGATTAGTGGAGCTCGAAAACTTGGCAATTTTTAGATGGGTAGGTTATAATGAGATGAAAAATTTGGAAGAAGCTCAAATATAGCAACACATGAACTTTTGCACAACAATGGAGTTGGAGGAGGCACAGTAGCACTCAAAAAGATTTATCATAACAAGGTCGGCAGAGAGAGAGATTGATAACTAAACCATTCTCAAGTATTGGTTTTGTAGGGATTTCGTTTGATTGCAAGGAGGATTTCCACATGAGCTGACCTCAGTTAGAGAACCACCGCAAAACCTGAGAGTACTGAACAGTTATTTCGTCCTAGTTTGAGACTCCTCACAGTACCCATCCACCGGGGTCCAACATTGACCAGTCGTCATGCTATATTGTCAACTGGCAGAAGTTGGAATTCATGTATCCACCATTGGATCAGATACCAGTAGCTTAACAGTCTACGAGCTCGCCCTGTAACCGGAAGGTCCTGGGTTGAAACCCTGACAGTAGGTGCATGCTGTGAAGAGTCTCAAACCAGGACGGAACAGCTGTCCAGTACTCTCAGCTTTTCCAGTGATTCTCTAACCGACGTCAGAGCATGATGGAACGTTGTAACCAATCAAATCTAATCCCTCCAAACCAATACTTGACTACGAGACAACTATAGAAAGCAAGCTTCGACTTTATGTAGGTACAAGTGATATGATTAAAAAAACCAATAAACTGGGTTCCAAACACCATAGAGTAGAAAAATATTGTTTCACTGCATGCTGTATCCAATAAACAAACTGAAACAGAATTACGCACAACTAAAGTGCCCAAGCCTAATAATACACATTTTCAAAGAGAACTTAAAATGAATTAATTCTTCAACCTAATCGAAATGCGTGATAACATGTTCCTTCGTTGAGAAGGCGAAAAGCAACGACCAATTTCAATTACCTGACACCTGTTCAGTACAGTTCTCAGACTCATCCATCTTCTTGTGCTTTAACTTCTTTGATTTCTTCTCTTTTTCAGCTGAAGAAGAGACAAACGAAATGCTAAAGTAAAAGTTAGATAAATGGGGATTTATTTCAATCAACTGATTCGTCAATTCAATGCGAATGGGTGATGAGATGCTCTTTTGTCCCTTTCGGATGTTGTTTCTATGAAGTTATCTGTCAGTCAAGAGAATTATTTGCAACTTATTTGATTGAGTGATGGTCCAGCGTAATAAACTGACGTAGGTAAATGGGAAGAAAATGTGTCTCCTAATTTCCTTATAAAGAACACTGAAATATTGTACTAAGACATTGTAAATCCAGTGAGGGATGAGGTTTTTCAAAGAAGGAAACACAATTTTCCAGTCTGTCTATCATATGCTGCCAACAGTATTCATCGTTTCGAACAACTATGGGTTGAAATTTCGATATTATATTTTTTTTTCTATCACAGGTACTTTAAGTCCGCGGTCGTGGAGAACAACTGATAGTCGCCATGATTAATGCGGGTAAATTATTCGGTAGGTATTTTCAGTGAGTTATACTATGTTACGAGCTATGCCTAATGTGAAAACCTTTAATACTAGCAGGGTTTCTTTTAGGCCACCGTAAGCAATTGAATTTTGAATAAATTCATTTGTTCACCATCAAATGTTCAAGCTGAATAGTTATGCTTTCATGTTAAGCAAATATGTGATAATAATTCTTTTAAAAAAACTTTTTAAAGGAGTAAATTAAGCGAAAAATGTGGACTAATTCAAATTGAATCTTCTATTCATATTCACCAGTTCGAAACCTCTCGTGAAGTCAGTTATTTCGGGTGTACGTATAAACACATATTCACCATCCAAATTTCTGGATAGGGTCGGACAAATATTGTACAGAGTTACATTCTCATATATCTTGTCAATAGTGAAAAAGTTATCTGAATCATGTATCACATATCATCCATCTTTCTTATGCAACAACAGTCATCAGAATTTCCTTCAATACAGCAAAATTATGTCCAAGTATTGCTTTTTTTATGTTCTCCTTACAACAACCATATGTACAGGATGTTTATTCAACAAAGCAACATTTACTTTATTAGTTGACAGAAAACAAACTTACCAGTGTCTGGCTTTAATTTGATCGCCTTAGTAATCAATTTCTTTTTGTCTGAGTGGAAAACAAGACACATGAATGAAATAAATATCACTAAATTTTCAAAAGAATAGATGAATACCAAAATCAAGTTGTAAGGTGGTACTATTTACATTTTATTCCTTTGCATCACAAGTGGGACATAGGGCTTCAAGAATGAGCTTTGAAGTTTCAGTAGCAGTGGAGTTCATATTCACAGGGTGGGATTGCTAGCCACACCTCCAAACTTTGCTCTTTATCGGACTTGCTACAGGAGGAGTTTAACCTGAGAGTGTATCAGCCGGAGGTCGAACCCCAAGCCACATGCGTAGTCAGCGAGTATTCTACTACTGTGTCACCAACGCTCATTTAATATTAGTCTTGATATATTAACACACACATACACACTGCCATCATCAGCGGAAACGCCACTGAGAATTAACGCATAAATAAGTACTCATGCAACCTTCAAAAATATCTTTGCTGATGAAACATCAACGACTGAATACAAAAGCTTGAAAAGAATTCAATTATATCTATAACCTAATCGTTTTTGAGTGAACTCAGAAAACCCACGTTGAAACCTTTTACCTAGACATGGTGGTTGGGCTTACACACTGAATAAACTCAATAAGTGATGGTAATTAAAAAGACTGTTAAACAAGTCCTACAAAATTCGTTGGCATTGCTATAAGACGAAAAAAATTGATGTACATGCACTGTAGTAAGGGTGTGAAGGAGTGCGGCGTTTCTCTCGGCCTATGTTTAATCCACCTCTATATCCTTCTGGATACACATCCAGGCAACTGCTTCTTGACAAGTTCGCTGTACTGCCTGAGTTTCTTGTTGCTTATCCTTTTCGACCAACCATCTTATCTTTAACATCTATTACTTCAAGATAACCAAACTTAGGTTCTACAGATGTGCAAATATATCCATTCTCGTTGATGGTTTGAACAGACAAGAAATTTCAATAACCCGCAATATACTGTCAACACATTAACCGTAGTATACAGTCGATTTTCAGTTTATCCACATTCAACCTTCTGTCCTGCAACCTAATTCCAATTCGCAAAAAATCACATTTTGAAAACATGCTTTAGTCAGAGAAAAACCAAATATTATGAATCACTACAAAGTCATCTCATCTCAAGTTGGCGGTCATTGAATTTGTTCGTCAAGAGTATCATGCAGAGTTTTAACTAAAAAAGACTAGTAATTCAACCGCTGACCACCTTGTTGTTGAGACAGAATATCCAAACAACTACTTCCTTTCTGATTAAAGGTGAACATAACCTCACTTGTCAAGCGGTCACAGTATATATACACCTCATCCGTGAGATTCAGCTAAGAAGCGATCTATATAAAAATCCTTAGGAAAAATCAACAAAACTATTCATAAAAGCCATAATGACTACTTACACCAACGTTTTATTTTTAAATGGTGTTCATCGATTCCTTTTTTCTTAAGTTCTCTGATTATGTGCTCGTTTTGTTTAGTATTCTTCAGAGTGACAAACACATTTCTTAAATTAGAATAAAAGATAAGCAAATATATGAGTAAAATCAGTGGTAATAGATAAAAATTGGAAGACTGAAGTGTTAATGGGTAAAAAACTACTATGAAAATAAAACTGTACAAGTATTTAGGTTAAGATAACACAATACCAATACGAAAACATGGCACCAGTCAATGAAATCCACAACAGTTAGTCTAAGTCACGTAGGAAGGTGTAGACTTCCTGGTTGGGGTCCTCGGGACGGTAAACACCAATGGTTGGAAACAATTGGTGATATGGCTCAAAATCGTTCTCAGTGGCGCAGATGCATCCACTCCTTGTGACTTATTATTTCCAATGAAACTATATTGTTCTTCATTATTACTATTCCTTTGCCTCACACCTCTGTTCACTGTCTCTAATATGCATTTCTCTTACTTTCTTCTCTTCCTCTGTGTGCTACATGGTGTGGCGACTTGAACTGCCGCACATATGTGCAAAGTTCTATGTCGAAAACCGACCGACCGAATACCAAAATAACAACCCTTAGTAGTCAACAAAGAATTGCCTAATTTCACCAATCCTCTGCGTATTTATCCAGTTTAACTTCCCCCGTGTAGCCGTTACCAACTAAGCAAGTTCATCGTCGAACTTCTCAACACTTCTCATATTTTGTCTAGACAAAAGACTGAATAAAGCTATACGCAGCTCAATACTAGCACATCTTGTCGATACTGGATATCACGTTGACACTAACAAAGCTTTTAATATTATTTATCGTATTTCCCCTAATTATTCTCATGCTCTACGTGTATCACTTTTACATACAGCAAAGGCAGTCCGAATTGTATCTGAACAAGCAAAATCTATGTTTAAGTGAAATTTGTGCATCCCATTCTTAATTGTGGCAGTGCACATAATATGTATGCATTCTTAGAAATGATTTACCCCCAGACTTGTAGCTATTAGTCAAAATTATCTTATTTCCCTACGACTACTGTCTTACCTAATTTGATTAATTTGTGTATCTTGTTATTTTTACGTAATTTATTTGTCAATTTTGCTTAGTCGTTATTTTACAGATTACTGTGTTCACAAACTGACAGATCCTGAATTCCATGGTTATTTCAACTGACTAACATAACTATATGAGAAACTAGTTGGAAAAATTAACACATTTCTTGGCTCAATTTATTGTTGGTTTTTTTTAATGTATAAAAGGGAATTTTTGAATTATTGATAAACGATTTTTGGTGGAAATGTGTTCTATGAGCAACTTAAACCATCCAGTTCGGAGGACAAAACTACACCAAAATTATCCACCTTATCTATAAATCCTCTCTATTATACCTAAAAGCAATTATATATATATATATATATTACGTCACAATTGTAGCAGAAGTAAGACAGATCAATTTTTAAAAGGGACAACATTTAATAACAAAAAAGACATCTAGATTAGACGGTGGAGGTCAGTCTTTGTACTGCAGAGATCGCTATTTCGAATTCTCTAATTATGATGCTTCAGTGATGAGATTAATTTAGCAAAGCAATCTATGTTAGTGATATTTCTGTCCTAGTTATCCAAAGTGATCAGATCTTTGCTCATCGACTTTTTGAACTTTAACTCTTCATTGACTGTGTTTTATTGCAATAGTGAAATTGAGTTGATTGTAGTTTAAAAAAGACAGGTAACTGTCAGAGTCAATTCTACCTAACGGTATGTAGAACCATGTCACATAATTTACGTACCAACAAACTGAAACAGTGAAACAAACTGATGCACAGTACTGAGACCACTAACCTTTTCAACGAGTTAATAGGTACTGAGCAGTACTCCACAATGGAGCCTGGTGGGAATCGTCCTCGAATTTTATCATCTCCTACTGTTGTAGGTAGCTTGCATATTTTTATATCAATATTAGTAGTTGGATTGGGCCTCACATTGAAATGAAGACCAACCACAGCATTAACAGGTCGACCACCAATCACCTTATTTTGACAAGCATCTAAAACAACCTGAAGATCCTCCTTACATTCGAACTCTAGTAAGCATGACCTAAACAAGAAAACAAAACAAGATGCAATAGAACTTTAAAGCACACAGCGAAACGACAATAAAACCTTAACTCGAATTAATTTAGCCAAATGTTGACAAATATACAAAAGGAAATGAAAATAACAGAAGTTTGCACAGTTTGACATAAGTTTTCATACAGTCTGATTGAAAACTGCTATGACTTTGACTGAAGAGAACATTTCAGCGCCATCAGAATTATTATAAATTTTCCTGTAATCTATTTACTGAATACTCAACATATTTAAGAAAATTCCGGTAACTTGGTCAAATACGCAAATAACATCGTTTACAACTGTCTGTAATGAGGGACAACTTGTCAGACAACAGAAAACGAAAACTTCTTTTTTAGAAACGGGGTAAATAGTCAGTTGTGTGTAAGCATGTATACCTATTTTTGAAAGAAAAATAACAAGGGAAAAGCTGGATAATGCGTACTTCAACTAAAACTGACACCTGTTATCTACAAATTTGATCAATTATGAAGTGACAGAATATAAACCGCTTTCAAAACATCAGGTAACTTTGATAAATCTGACCTCTATTTAAAAATGATAAGAAAATTTCTGTAAGGTATTATAAAACACTTGTTATGGAAAGAGAAGACACTACTGACTGTCATAATCCTAATGAAACACCAACTAATCAGATAATCTGAAATTACTCCACTTAGTTTTAATTCACATGTTTGTCACAGATATATTGGTTCTGATCTCAACAGAGTTGGAATCGCACCCTCTCCCCCACAACTAACCCGTAACAACTGGGAAAGAGTAGACTTCGCTAGGCCTCTTAAGATGCTTCCATGTATCCACACGACCATAACCTCTCCTAGGTTAATCCTTTTCACTGCCTTCAAGCAGCGCGTTTACTTCGCAAAACTTAAAAATGGAGAATGTGAACGCCTACAACAGTACTGGTGGACATACTCGTTTACATAAAGGGGCCGAAAAACACTGACTCCAAACCTATAGTGTACATGAACTCCAGAATCCAAATGGACCGAACGGCATGTGGACGTTTTCTGATTACTAGCTACCATGGGGACACAGCTCCTGTCGCTTCCCACTACCTTGTGCATCAGACTTCAAGTCAAAGGTTAGGAGGGCGGCCTCTTACAGCAACAACAACAACCTGCTTCAGTATGAGCGTCATAGTCCTTACATAGACATGAGACTTTGTGTGGCACACCTTTTTGGTGTTCATAATGTACCAGTTTCAAGTTTTAATAAAATCAATTCATCATCTAACATGTGATTGGACGACACGAATGTGTCATTGACAAACGAATTGAAAAGCTTGCAAAAGTTTTACGCATTGAGTTGACTGTCTTTTTAGTAAATCCCACTATCTGAAAACAGTTAATTGCATAAAAATATAGCGACCTAATTTTACTTCTCAAAATGTTCAAATGTTGGGATGAATCTTTGTAAATCAACTTGTCTTTGTAAGGCCAGTAAGATTCATAGTGGTTTTATTATTAGTGATAATAATTGCCTGCAAGCTCCACGGCTGGATTAAAAGGTGAATATGACATTACATTAAACGCCACTACTATGGTGCATGAGTCCAGAGATGCATCTGACGACATGCACACAAAGTTCCAAAGGCACTATATACTGAGCATTATTATCTTGTATTTAAGAAATCTAAAAATAATTAATCATTTCTCTATGAGCTGGGATTCACAACTGCAACGTCCAACTGGAGCGATCGCATTCCCATGAATGAGCTACAAAACTAAAAGACTGACATCAAAATCGATTATCACAGGAAACTATGTACAAAAAAGAAGAAATTTTTTAAATAAAACCTACCCTTTATTAGTACCATCTTTCTTAGTGTTAATTGTGATCGATTTTGCTAGAGGAAATTCATTTTCTAATTCATCTGTAGTAATGGAATACGGTAAGTTGCGAACTGTCAGCCTCAAATCATCACCTTCAGTCTTAATTCGGTCTTTTTTGCGGCGAACAACTTGTTTATACGATGGCTGGATCGATGGATGCAAGTTAAAAACACAGTGGAGTTAACATGTAAAATCATTTAGTAATTATTTTTGGTTCGCGAAATATACCCATTAAGACATTGAAATAAGAACAAATTAGTTCAGCGAAGAGTCTCTTTTCGGCGAATTCATTCACTTAGCTGTACAGTCGCAAATATATATACTATTATTTTGTGTGTGTGTGTGTGTACATTAGGTTTGTCAAAATCAAAATAACAGTTAGTGTGGGTTGTTGATTATATCATCAAGATAATGAAGAAGTTAAAATGTGTGATTAATACTCAAAGTTGTAACTAAGTGGGGTGAAGATTGGTAGGATGTGAGCAGGGTTACGTAATATGGACATGTTTAGAAAGATTAGATGCTAGTGAAGGAGTTTGGAGACAATTATGAAAATAAACTAGATAATAGGTGAAAAGATTGAATGGGTTAGTTACTAAAAATTGTTATACGAAAATTGCAAAAAAATTAAATTGCAAAAAATTTGATAACAAAATGTTGATGACAAATAAACTTGGAATTAAACCCACGGTAGAAGGGGGGGGTGGAGAAGTTCCTTCTGTGTGCATAACTCAGGCTTTTCCATCCAAATCGCTAAGGCTTCAGCAATACAAAGTATACGGAAGCTTGTCGATTTTGGAAGGCTTCTTTTGACTTTATAGATGACTTTGAATGACTTCTCCTTGCAAATCGAATGACCAGTGTTGAGTATATGCTCAATAATGGCGCTCCTTATTGCTCCGTTGTTACCTTTCCGTAGCCAGGCGGGATAGTGTTCTTGAACTCTTTTAGATAAAACACGCATCGAACGACCTATATACCTCGCTCCACAAGAGCAGGTGAATTGGTAGATACACATGGAATTGGTCAAATGCGATAGTTTATCTTTAGAGTAGTTGAAGGACAATGGCCGGGAGGAAAATGTCAGTCGTAGTGTGGCAGCGAAGAATGTCCTTCTGAGAGCAGTAGATATCCTCTTCTTCAAGGTGTCAGCCAGAAGGTCACCTTTGAAGGGTACATTCATGTAGACCATCTTCTTCTGCACTGTAATGGGTTGTTCTTTGTACGTCTTAGGCTTAATGTGCTTGTCTATAAAACGGGGTGGGTAGCCATTCTCGAGCAGTGTCTTCCTTAAGAGGGCAATCTCTTCCTCTATTGATTCTGGACTACAGATTTTTCGGATTCTAGTCGCCAGAGATATTATCAAATTTCGTTTGCGACTTATTGGTACCCAACTGTAGAAGTTTGTCAACTGACCGTTCCATGTAGGTTTTCTGTGTACTGATATGTTCAAGGTAACATCGGTCTTCTTACTTAGACGAACGTCCAGAAAGGAGATTGTCTCATTGGTTTCTACTTCGATTGTAAATTTGATGGCAGGGTGGCAACTATTGAAAACTTGAAGAACAATATTTTGATCACAATTGTGATCGCAGATGACGAAAGTATCATCGACATACCTTTTGTATAAGAAGAATTTGTCGATGGTTGCTTTCAGCGGACCGTTTTCCAAACTTGCCATGAAAATATCAGCCAGCAACGGACCCAAAGATGATCCCATCGCCACGCCATCTTTTTGTCTATAGAAGTTCCCATTGAATGTGAACTGGACATTTAGGGTGCATCTGAGTAGGAGTTCTTTTAGCTTGGTGGTAGGTATTCCAATATCCAGGTTGTTTTCTTCCAAGTATTTGCATAGAAAACAAATCGTCTCAGTGATAGGGACGTTTGTAAAGAGAGACTCGACGTCGAGTGAAATCATACGTTTGTCTCCCACTTTAACATCTTTGATGCAATCGATGAATTCGAAGGTATCCCGAAGGGAATGTTTTGAAATTCGTTCTCTGACAGGTTGTAGGAGTTCTGTTAGCCATTTCGCTATTGGATGATATGGAGATCCCGACATGTCCAAAATAGGGCGCAGCGGAAGACCCTGTTTATGAGTTTTTGGCAATCCGTATAGTCGGGGTATTATTGAACCTGTGGGTCGAATGCTCTCGAAGACATTTTCAGAGATAACTTGATCAGTCTTTAGCTTTCTCAAGATCTCAGTTAGCTGTTTTTCCGTCGCTTCAGTTTTGTCTTTCTCTTTTTCGAATACTGAGAACTTATTGTTGTCTGAGAGAATCGCCATCATTTTATTAATATAATCTTTTATATCCATTAGGACTATGCCTGTACCTTTGTCAGGACGTGTGATAAGCAATTCTTTGTTCTGCCTCAGTTGGTTGAGTTGTTCTCTATGTTCTTTGGTCAAAAGGCTGTTGAACTTGGACTTTGTATTGAGATACTGTTGACAAGAGTCTAGAATAGTGGACTTAAAATGTTTGAATTCTTCTTCGGAAGCTGGGACAAGATCAGTAGTCTGATTGATCAAATTTTCAAACTCAACATAAGTATTGAGCTTGCTTATGTTGGAGTTCATGTCGCAGAATCTTGGCCCGAGAGACAAGGCCTCCAATTGTATGGGAGATAACGTTACTGACGAATAATTGAATACAAATTTGGTAGGATCTTTTGGAAACTTGCGTCTCGTTTCTGCAGCTTTGAGACTTTTCAATAAGTTAGAATGTATGGATTGTGTACGCTTCTCCGTAACCACAGTGACATAGTCGGTAAATGCTTGTCGTTCATCACAAGACAATTTGTGTAACGCAGAGGATCGTTGCGCTATGTTCCTCTCGAGTTCTGGCACACGTGATTTAATGGAATCGATATGGTTCAGAGTATGACGCTTGAGGGATTTAGAGTTCATTCACATTTATCCGAACTCTAAATCCCTCAAGCGTCATACTCTGAACCATATCGATTCCATTAAATCACGTGTGCCAGAACTCGAGAGGAACATAGCGCAACGATCCTCTGCGTTACACAAATTGTCTTGTGATGAACGACAAGCATTTACCGACTATGTCACTGTGGTTACGGAGAAGCGTACACAATCCATACATTCTAACTTATTGAAAAGTCTCAAAGCTGCAGAAACGAGACGCAAGTTTCCAAAAGATCCTACCAAATTTGTATTCAATTATTCGTCAGTAACGTTATCTCCCATACAATTGGAGGCCTTGTCTCTCGGGCCAAGATTCTGCGACATGAACTCCAACATAAGCAAGCTCAATACTTATGTTGAGTTTGAAAATTTGATCAATCAGACTACTGATCTTGTCCCAGCTTCCGAAGAAGAATTCAAACATTTCAAGTCCACTATTCTAGACTCTTGTCAACAGTATCTCAATACAAAGTCCAAGTTCAACAGCCTTTTGACCAAAGAACATAGAGAACAACTCAACCAACTGAGGCAGAACAAAGAATTGCTTATCACACGTCCTGACAAAGGTACAGGCATAGTCCTAATGGATATAAAAGATTATATTAATAAAATGATGGCGATTCTCTCAGACAACAATAAGTTCTCAGTATTCGAAAAAGAGAAAGACAAAACTGAAGCGACGGAAAAACAGCTAACTGAGATCTTGAGAAAGCTAAAGACTGATCAAGTTATCTCTGAAAATGTCTTCGAGAGCATTCGACCCACAGGTTCAATAATACCCCGACTATACGGATTGCCAAAAACTCATAAACAGGGTCTTCCGCTGCGCCCTATTTTGGACATGTCGGGATCTCCATATCATCCAATAGCGAAATGGCTAACAGAACTCCTACAACCTGTCAGAGAACGAATTTCAAAACATTCCCTTCGGGATACCTTCGAATTCATCGATTGCATCAAAGATGTTAAAGTGGGAGACAAACGTATGATTTCACTCGACGTCGAGTCTCTCTTTACAAACGTCCCTATCACTGAGACGATTTGTTTTCTATGCAAATACTTGGAAGAAAACAACCTGGATATTGGAATACCTACCACCAAGCTAAAAGAACTCCTACTCAGATGCACCCTAAATGTCCAGTTCACATTCAATGGGAACTTCTATAGACAAAAAGATGGCGTGGCGATGGGATCATCTTTGGGTCCGTTGCTGGCTGATATTTTCATGGCAAGTTTGGAAAACGGTCCGCTGAAAGCAACCATCGACAAATTCTTCTTATACAAAAGGTATGTCGATGATACTTTCGTCATCTGCGATCACAATTGTGATCAAAATATTGTTCTTCAAGTTTTCAATAGTTGCCACCCTGCCATCAAATTTACAATCGAAGTAGAAACCAATGAGACAATCTCCTTTCTGGACGTTCGTCTAAGTAAGAAGACCGATGGTACCTTGAACAGATCAGTACACAGAAAACCTACATGGAACGGTCAGTTGACAAACTTCTACAGTTGGGTACCAATAAGTCGCAAACGAAATTTGATAATATCTCTGGCGACTAGAATCCGAAAAATCTGTAGTCCAGAATCAATAGAGGAAGAGATTGCCCTCTTAAGGAAGACACTGCTCGAGAATGGCTACCCACCCCGTTTTATAGACAAGCACATTAAGCCTAAGACGTACAAAGAACAACCCATTACAGTGCAGAAGAAGATGGTCTACATGAATGTACCCTTCAAAGGTGACCTTCTGGCTGACACCTTGAAGAAGAGGATATCTACTGCTCTCAGAAGGACATTCTTCGCTGCCACACTACGACTGACATTTTCCTCCCGGCCATTGTTCTTCAACTACTCTAAAGATAAACTATCGCATTTGACCAATTCCATGTGTATCTACCAATTCACCTGCTCTTGTGGAGCGAGGTATATAGGTCGTTCGATGCGTGTTTTATCTAAAAGAGTTCAAGAACACTATCCCGCCTGGCTACGGAAAGGTAACAACGGAGCAATAAGGAGCGCCATTATTGAGCATATACTCAACACTGGTCATTCGATTTGCAAGGAGAAGTCATTCAAAGTCATCTATAAAGTCAAAAGAAGCCTTCCAAAATCGACAAGCTTCCGTATACTTTGTATTGCTGAAGCCTTAGCGATTTGGATGGAAAAGCCTGAGTTATGCACACAGAAGGAACTTCTCCACCCCCCCCTTCTACCGTGGGTTTAATTCCAAGTTTATTTGTCATCAACATTTTGTTATCAAATTTTTTGCAATTTTTTTTTTGCAATTTTCGTATAACAATTTTTAGTAACTAACCCATTCAATCTTTTCACCTATTATCTAGTTTATTTTCATAATTGTCTCCAAACTCCTTCACTAGCATCTAATCTTTCTAAACATGTCCATATTACGTAACCCTGCTCACATCCTACCAATCTTCACCCCACTTAGTTACAACTTTGAGTATTAATCACACATTTTAACTTCTTCATTATTTTGATGATGTAACTCTGCTCACATCTTACCAATCTTCACCCCACTTAGTTACAACTTTGAGTATTAATCACACATTTTAACTTCTTCATTATTTTGATGATGTAACTCTACTCACATCCTACCAATCTTCACCCCACTTAGTTACAACTTTGAGTATTAATCACACATTTTAACTTCTTCATTATCTTGATGATATAATCAACAACCCACACTAACTGTTATTTTGATTTTGACAAACCTAATGTACACACACACACACAAAATAATAGTATATATATTTGCGACTGTACAGCTAAGTGAATGAATTCGCCGAAAAGAGACTCTTCGCTGAACTAATTTGTTCTTATTTCAATTATTTTTGGCACATAGACAAACAGACTGACGTAGATCCTGGAACTTTACAATTTATACCCACAAACAAGGAAGAAATACACAGGTAAAATGTCATTACATTTAAAAATAAAATAGGAACATGACAAGCACATAACTAGAGCTTAGTGGAAATAATTGGTTTCGATATTTATGACCTGAGATGCTGAAGCGCAGCTCTATTTATTCAGATATAAAAAAACAATACGGTTGTAAATAACGGTAGCATGTAAGTAAACGTGTATAACAAACACTAATGGAATTTAAAAGGAACTAGTGAAATAGATGTACTCTTTTATTACAAAGAATATCACCTAATTATACGATTATAATTCTGTAAACGCAAACAACACTGGAAAAACCACTTTCTCATGGATATTATATTCAAATAACATTATAAGAACGAAAAATGTTTACGTCAGGCTAAATATCAGCATTGAGCGCTCTGTTTATTATTCACTATGACCTAGAAATGGTGTATTTTGTTGGGGTTTTTATTTTTCCTATTAACTATCAATATTTTTAAAATTTTATACATTTATATAATTATAAAAAGAGCTAAACCAATGCAATATGTAAAATGAAACGCTGAAAATTCCATGCTGTAAATTGTTATTGTTGTGGAATAAAGTGATTATTATTATTATTATTATTAACGCCTCTAATTATTTCACACTTCTGATTTTATTTAACAACTTTTACATAGAGCAATGGTTTTTTTTATTCATTAACCACTGTAATAAGATTGAAAATGAATTCAATCAAATGTTTTACATGGCGTATAGATTATAAAATTAGCTGAGTTCATTCAAAAATAACTCACCTTAACTCCATCAAACTCAAGTTCTTCCAAACGACTGACAGCATTTGTAAAATCTTCCATATTGGCGAAATTGGCAAATGCGTGACGCTTTGCAGATTTTTTAAACAACCGTAATCGTGATGCTGATGGGATGGCCTCTCTGAGCATAGTATAATTTATATAATTTGGCAAATTGGTAATACGTAAAGAGGCATCGCACTGATGCTTACTACGATGTTCTTCTATAAACATAAAGAGGAATTTGCAAAATCTGATAAATTTAAATAATAATAATAGTGATGTAACTCAGAAACTTGGTGCATGTCAAGCCCCCAAAGTGAGGTGCCCTAAAAGTACAAGGCTTACCGACACTACCGAATCATCCCAGTTGAAGTAGGTACGATCCTGAACCGACTGGTTGGGAGTCAGGTGTTTACTTTTATTACTAAAAAAAGCCGACTTGATACATTATGAGCACCAAAAAGATGTGCCACACAAAGTCTCATAGTCTGCGTAAGGACTATGACGCTCAGACTGAGGCAGGTTGTTGTTGTTGTCACTGTAAGAGGCCGCCCTCCGGGCCTTTGACTTGAAGTCTGATGCACAAGGTAGTGGGGCAGCGACAGGAACTGTGTTCCCATGGTAGCTAGTAATCAGAAGAGGTTCACATGCCGTTCGAGTTCATGTACACTATAGGTTTGGAGACAGGGTTTTTCGGCCGCTTTATGTAAACGAGTATGTCCACCAGTACTGTTGAAGGCATCAGACGTTCAAATTCGCTTTTATGAATAGTGTAGAACAACTTTTTCTAAGCCGATAGAACAAGTCCATTCAGAATAAGGTATTTCTAACTTGAATCAATAAAATAATGTAGTCGAAGTAAAAAATATCTAGTAATACATACGTAGATATCTGCCTATACAAATATGTGTACACAGTTAACCTAGACATTCAATCATATCTGGGTCTATATGTGGAGCTCAGCCAACCTTCAATTAATTTTTACCTTCCAGCTTCACAAAGAGGAATAACCATATCAGAATCTTACCAAAATGTAGGATTTCAGTGAGACGAAAAAACTGGTCGACTGACGCATAAAGCAGCTATTTATTGATATCAAATTCCTGACAGGCGAAATTCTGTAAGTGAAGCGTCTTTACGCTATATAGAGTATCTGGCGGTCTAACAGCATGTTAGACGAGAAATTCAAGTTACTGTGAACATTCTATATTCAAAATACAGTAAAATGTCCGAGGAACAAACACTATACTGACACCAGACACTAACAGAAAACAATTATCATAACCATGGTGGTTGATTATGTCTTTTCAGCTATAAGTCAGCTTTACAAGCAAATGATCAGTTTCTCGCACTAAATAGTATGTGCAATGCTGTAATAAAATCCTTACCTTTTCTTTCCACAGAAGCAGAATGATCTGAAATTTTGTCAGACGGGACTTCAGACTTTGTGTTACGATCTTTCTTTTTAAATTTTCCATGAAGTTTTTTCGGCTTGGAATCAACAGAAGAACCATTTTGACTCAACTTGGCCTTCTTCGCTGTGGTTTTGAAGTCACTGTTTTTTCGCTTCTTTTGCAAGTGTCTATCTAACTGCTTCTTTTTTGCACCTACTGATGCTGAATCTGTACTGCCATGAAGCTCTTTTGTGAATTTGGCGGAACTGGGCATTATTTTAATTTTCGAAGAGTCCTCATTAGATCCCGACTGCATTTTGATGAATAATACCTGCGAGCAAGGATTCAAATAAATAGAACGAATGACATAATACCTTCGAGGATTAAACATAATGCAGTATTGCAAACCCTTGTTTACTTAACCTACAGACTACTGTGCAATATTGTAACTAACAAAAAATATAATATAATGACAATATATATGTATATATATATACCCCGCCATGACACCTACAAAAAGATAAAGTGTCAATATATGGCATAGGTTGCACAGATGGATATTACTCAAACAATTAACCAACTTACACACAACAATGCTACTTCCGATAATGTTACCTTTATATAAATCCAGAATATGCATAAAAATCTCAGCTGTTGTATTCCAGTTATCACAAAACAAGACTGACATAATACTAATTAAACCCTAAACAATCAATTTACAACACCACAATTAAGACTCGAAGTAATGAGTCGATGTAATCGCACCAGGCAGTCTAACTACCTAGAGCTTTCAGATTTAACAATTTCACTTCAACTAACAAAAATCTTCATATTTGAAGTGTTTGGAACACTCAGAAAAACTCAACGGTCACTAAATGCATACATTCTGCCGAGGACTGTACAGCACAGCAGAGGTTGCGTTATAGCTTTACTCCCTAGGTTTCATGTGGAACATGGGTTTTCAGCGTGACATCGTCATTACACTCTGTTGGCTGTATGTGGTTATCTCCACGGAGGCCTAACACTCTTTTTTTCTCAATGTCATACTCAGACGCCAAAATGGAGGTTGTTATCACATCCACATTTCAATTTTGAGATATCTTTAGGTGGGGTGATTTAGACTGACTACGTGAGTGTAAAATTTCAGGGATGGTGAAATTATGAAGGTAGTCTAATCGATTTTTCAATATACCGAATGTATCAGATAGGAAAATGGACTACCAAAGTCTATTATGGCATACGAACGTAGAGCCACACGTGATTACCTTCACAAAGTATCACTCGATTTGAACATCCGCTTCACTAAAACCTTCATAGCAGTCTTTCAAATTTCATGTAATGCTAAAAGGTGGAAAAATGTTGAAAAATATGACGTTTTGGCATTTTTCGATCTGACATTCTATCCTGTGACCAACAAACATCACAATTAGTTATTTCATTGTGTTAATGCTGACTCTTTGATTACGAATCTATTTATTGGACAGTAATAGAATTCGGTGATGTCATAGAAGAGAACCCAATGCATATCCATAGGACAAAAATAAGTTTAATCATTTGATCCCACTTTAATACCCCTTTGTATTAATTCACATTCAAAAGCAAATGCCATAGAGGTTAATGGTGCAGGCATATTTCTGCAGTACGCAACAATACGTACGTTACAATATGATTGTACACTATTTTGTTAGATGTTAATATTAGAAACACTGCACGTGACTTTTTTAAAAACCATTTCTGTTGGAACATACATAACTTCCGAGTTCAATCTGAAATCCAGTGTACTTCTGGCCGTTTCGTTTCCTCACCAAGGAATAACCTCGTTGACTTCATCATCATCATATGAAGATGATATAGTCTTTCTAGGCGAGGACGCTGACAAAATGCAGAGTCTTCTGAACACCTTGAGGTGCAATCCTCGAATGTTTCGCATGCAATTCACTCGCGCCAAACGTAAGATGATGTTACAGGATTGGACTACACCGACTCCTAGATTAGAAATAGGAAATGAAGTGGTTGAGCACGTTGACCGGTTCACTTATTTGGGAAGTTGTATCAGGCCTAACGGGTTGATCTCGGACGAAATCTCAGTACGGATACAGAGGGCTAGTTTTGCTATGGCAGTTTACGCCGTCTCTGCTGTAGACGAGATATCCGACTGTCGACCAAAGGGCGTGTGTACTGCTCAACAGTCCGCTCCGTCCCCCTTTATGGCTGTGAGACCTGGCCGTTTAGAGCGGAAGACATGAAAAGATTAGCTGTCTTCGATCATATATGCCTGCGTTCTATCTCCCGCGTGAATTGGTATAATAAGGTGAGCAACATTAAGGTCAGGCGTCGATTTCTAGGTAAGGAGGGGAAATCAATCGACGAGGCTGTGAAGTTACACCGATTGAGCTGGTTGGGATGTGTGTTACGTATGCCTAGTGTTCGTCTTCCTCGACGGGCAATGTTAGCTAACATAGGGTCAGGATGGAAAAGAGCTAGCGGCGGTCAAAGAAAAAGCATGGAACCAGTCAATGAAACCCACAACAGTTAAAACCAGCCACTCAGGGAGGTGTAGACTTCCTGGTTGAGGTCCTCGGGACGGTAAAAACCAATAGTTGGAAACAATTGGTGACATGGCTCAAAATCGTCTCAATGGGGCAGATGCATCCACTCCTTGTGACTTATGATTTCCAATGAAACTATATTGTTCTTCGTTATTACTATTCCTTTGTTTCTCACCTCTGTTTACTGTCTATACTATGCATTTCTCCTACTTTCTTCTCTTGCTTTGTGTGCTACATGGAGTGTGGTGACTTGAACTGCCGCACATTGGTGCAAAGTTCTATGTCAAATACAGACAGGCAGACTATACTGTCTACTTGTCATTACTAACTTTGCTGTATACTTTGAATTTCGCAGGAAACTCTCATCGTCATCCGAAGACTATTCTACAACCGGCAGTGAACGCTCGTAGATTGCATTAATAATTTTCAGCCACCAGTTTTAACTGTATATGCAATTAACCATTTAATTAATATAACTCATTACTGTATTATTTTATAATATACTGTTACACTATCATCTTATTACCTTGGATTTTTATTCGCATACTTGTTCTGTTACTGAGCTCACTAGAAAAACCCCTACAGCTTCATTGTAACTGAGTTCTGTTCTAATAAATGATACGGTTCAGGGCATAACTTCACGCCCCAGCTCAAGCATAACTTTAGTTGGCTGTGTATTATAAATCTTTTCTGAGGAACTATATCTGGTTTGATGAGCCATTTACGGTTCGCGTTTAATACTGTCGCCTGCCATGCACATGGCCTGTCGTTCGATCCCCTGCACACCTTATATCCATGGTCGGCCTGCAGAATTTCAGGTTACTAATATGACATGCTGGAAATTTCATACTTGTAACAGAAATACGATGTGGAATCAAGCTGTAATCAAAAAAATAAGAATAAAGGTATATACTCAGGTATGCATGGCTCATCTCTGAAACAAGGATGTTTAATGGTTCATTTAGACAGTTTATTCAAACAGTGATATATACAATAAACTGACATTTATACACTGGTAATCGGGGGAATCAAACACAGCGGTCCCTGCTTTTTGTGAGATAGTAACAGCAGTCGTCTTGTGCAGCAACCGCTTTTGATGCCTCCGCCTTGTTGGAAACCTCACAACAACTGAACACATAAAAATGTGTAAATAAGTATGGTATAATGTCTAATATTGCACATTTAAATATCAAAGTTGTACTTTGAATACAACCTTGCACTTCGTGCTAATAAGACCATTCTTGGCTCACTGAACTTATGTCTGCTTGGATGCACGCATTTGTGCTGAGTCATTGTGTTCTCGGTATTTTGGAGCCGAAAAACGCCATATCTGATTCATTTCGCTTAACCCTACAGTCTTGCACTTCTTCAAATGATTGTTGAAGTGTTTTGGATTTGATCGAAGATCGTGACTCCATTTCTTCAAAGAGTTATTCATACAGTGGCTGTGAAACATGAATACTCCACTCAGTGATCACTTCAGTCAGTTGTGCATTGCAAATAACAGCCTACTAGACCCCACCTCACATACAAAGTTAGCCATATCCTTCATTATGTGCAAGTGTAACCAGTATAGAAAAGGCTACAGTTGAAAAAGCCCCTATCAACGAAGCCAGCACCCACCTTATTCATTGAAACTGATATCCCTGTCAACGAATTTAGCATAACAAAAGCTCTTGTACGTCTAGCAATGTAATTTTCCGAGCAAAAACTACATAGTCACAGCAATATTTCTCTACTGACTGCCAGTATTCTTAATTTCTGTGTATCGCTTGTGCAATAACTGCTTCTCGGTTTCGATCCCCACTTCGTTTAAAGCTGAAATGAACTGGTGAATTCTATTAAGCTCAAGAAGATATTCCTGGCTAATTTTTTGACAAAAAACCACCATCGAATTCATCTTTAATTTAAATAAAGAGGTGGTTTGACAACACATTACAGTTAATTATTTCCTAATACAGAAATCCAGTTATTTGTGCTGCTTCAACAACTTAGAGCTCGTTTCCCTTATGGTCTAAGCCAGAAATTTTGCCCACGTTTGTTTCCAGGTTATGTGTGCTGATTGTTCGGAGCTTCGGCCACATAACTGGGTAACTTCTCAGCCTGGTCAATCGTAACATAGTCGCCAGACTGCTATTAACCTCCCATTAGCCTGCGGAATAAGGAAACGGTACTTAAGACCATTCAGAAATCTTTTTCCTTAACGGTATTATTGAGAGAGCACTGAAATAAACAATCTTGTCACAACGCGGTTATCACACTATTTTTCCATGAAAATGCAATTTAAGGCTTTACCTTCTTTGATCTATCCCAATACAGATGAAAAGTCTATTGTTGAAACCAAAATGGAGAGAGATCAATGGAATTCCATATAATATATGGTCCCATGCACTTTAGCGATCAACATGCAACGGTTAATAAAGTTATGTCTGAAGCACTGTTCCATTGTGAGTCTTGAGAATTCCCACAGTTGCTGTGAAGAACCAGTTGTTAGTGACAAGCTTTCATAGTCAAGTTATACATTTGTATTGCGTGCCTTAATGTTTCCTGCCGACAAACACTCTCATGAATGTGAAACACGCTGGGGCACACTTCGAATGCGACTGTTCAACCGAAATTTTAGAGGTGGTTAAATTGGTTGTAACACACGTCCGCCTGTTAAACGCGGCCACAAAAACGTTTTAGTTTGGCTAGCAAAGGTAGAACAGCAGCTGTTCTATAATGCAGCAATAAAACACTTCTTCAGTTGGGGATGCTTAGCTCTATTTAAGAAATCTTTCAAGGTCCTGCACGCGCAGCCGCATCTCTCAAAGGGACATCTTGACATTGCAAATGCATTAGAAATCCGAAACCTCAAAAAAACACAAGGAAGCCGAAAGACGTAAGTTCAAACTTATTCTTTCCTAGTTCATCATAATTGGTCTATTTCTTCAAGGACAATTCTGCCTAAATATTTTATCAATCGAACTTCCTATTTCTTCATTTTAATCCTCATTGTGTGACGTAAATACACCCCACTATTCGCTAAATCTTGACCTGTGACCAGAAAAGGATCTGGGAATTTCTCGCCCCTTCGTTAAATATTCACGCCATCGAAAGGGGACATATTCCTTGGCTACGAATTTCCCTTGTTTTCTCTGACTGAAAACCAGTGATGGGAAAGTTTCTGAGCACATAAAACTGGGCATTTGAAAGCATGATGATAATCTGGCGCGTTAGTGGCAAGCTTATCTCAAGCGATACGCAGTAGTAATTTCTCTCATGTTTACACATTCTATAAGGTTTTAGAAGATGAGGTACATCGATGATTATGCAAAGTAAACTGTATGCAAACACAGGATTTATAACTCTTACTCCCAAAGTACTTGTTCTACTTAAACCAAACAACAACTCTGTAGCTGAATAAAACTACAAATTTGCAGTCCAAATATGCTATGCATTTCCGGATCATAAATGTGAAGTGGTGTAGCCCGCTTAGGAAGCTAGGGTGTGTGCACTTGCAAACAAGTATGACAACAGTGTACCGAATGCCATGGATGATAGCCCGCGCACCTTCAGCTTATGCAGCCGACTCAAACAGTGCATATCATCCAACGACGAATTCTTCAGAGTAGCGATTTTGGTGAATCGGTGGCTACGACCCACCTGATACTTGGCAAGCTTGTGAAGGTCGTACAACAATACCAGCCGCAACAAAAATGCACTAATATTGCCATTGGCATAACTCTTCTGATGGGCTCGAGGACATTG